ATAGCAGACGACCAGCGCGTTGCAGATGCCGGGACTAGGCTAGCGCCGCCATCTTTGTCCGTTTCGTCGGCTAGTCAGACTGCCACGCTCCTGCGCTCCGAGTAGCGCTTCTATTTTGTTATGTGTTCGCTGGCTGAAAGTTACGTTTTGCTGGCCATGCCAGCTGTCATAGAAATTTGGGGACCGAGCAGGTTTTTACAGGCCGGGGCCGCAAAATCAGCTGTCCGCTTACTTACTTAAAACATGAATGCATTTTAAATACACAATCAAAATCCATAGAATTGCAATTGAATTGTGTTATTGTCGCCGTTGCCTAGCAACTATTTATTTTTATTTTTGCTGTAAATTATTTCTTTACATAACCTTAATGTTGTAGTTGTGTTGACTATCAGTTTGCATTATTATAGTGGTGAATAGTGGTAATAGGGTATAGTGTGGTGAAAAATAGCGTTCGTACCACGGGCAGAAATGGTTTTGCAGCTCTCGATCGATTTAAAAACTATCTCGAGCCGGCAAAACCTCATTTTCGGCCCTAGGTACGAAATATACTATTATTCAATGTATATATCGTGGTATTATAACTTAGGATCTATGAAATCTTCTGAGAAAGTTTTTTTCTTCTATAAAATGTATTTATAAATCATATGATTGCAATTTTGATAGATGGACAAATTATAAAACAAACGAACGGAAGTTAAAAAATTATAGAAGTCTAGCTGCTAAACTCGTGCCTTGCAACGGGGTCAGGATAAGACAATGTTGGTCCTTTCAAAATTCCGTAAAATGGCGTCACATGAACCATTGAATTTAGAAACTAAATTAACCTCCACTACTTACCTTGATAAATGTCTGTTTTTTTGTTAACTCAGGTGGTGAATACTTACATATAATACATGTGATGATACAACATATGGTGCCGATGCACCTATGAAATCATTGTATCTAGACCTATATGATTTTACTAGCTGCTGTACCCGTGCCTCGCAACTTGAAAGGGTTGAAATAAATGTTGTCCATTTACTGCGAAGTTCATCTGGTAGGGGGTCATCCCACTCTAGTCCACATAACCATGTGCTCTGCATGATATGTTTGGCGTAAAACGTAGTGGGTGTTATCCATCCTAAAATATCATAAATTTTAGCAATCTCAGAAAGCATTGAGCGCTTGGTACAAACTACAGGGTTAAGTTTAATTACATAGAAAAATACATCTTCAGCGGGATCAAACTGTAATCCAAGTACTTTAACAGCAGAGTCGTCTTCGGAGCGTAGGGCGAGGGGATTTTCTCTACAATCAAGCGGGACGCTGTCTAATATTTGGTGGCAATTACTGGCCCATTTTCTTAGGGTGAATCCTCCCAATCCCAGAAGTGTAATTAGTTCCTGCTGTAACTGAAGTGCTTCTTGAGGAGAATCAACACTGGTACAAATATCATCCACAAACGTTTGATGAGTGATAGCTTGAGAGGCGAGTGGGTATCTTTTGCCTTCATCTTCAACCAGTTGCAGTAATACTCTTTGTGCCAAATAAGCACTAGATGTTACACCATATGTCAATACGTTCAGCTCGTACTCATTTATATCTCCATTGGGATTTGTGCGGTAGAATATGTGCTGAAATGCTCGGTCTGTGGGATTCACAACGATTTGCCTATACATTTGTTTTATATCGGCACACACAACAATTTCATGTAGGCGAAAATTAGTTATTATCTCTCCTATGTCTCTTTGCAGCTTTGGTCCACTATACAGGATATCATTGAGGGAAGAGGAATTTGCATAGGGCTTAAAAGACGCATTAAACACTGTTCTCAACTTTGTTGTACTACTGTTCTCATTTTTTACACAATGGTGGGGAATTATATAAGGTGAGGGGTTGCTGGTGATACTCATATGACCTTGAGCTAGGTAATCATCCATAAACTCTCTATACTCCAGATAGGTTTCTGGTTTGCTTTTTAATCTGTTCTCTAGGCTGATAAGTCGGACACCGAACAGAAAGATTTTATGTTTAAATCTGTTAACTTATATTAGAGATATTGGCAATTAATAATGAAATGTATAGTTTTTTGTACCAGTGTACTAGTGCCTGAAGATGTAAACCTAGTTTCTGAAAGCGCTAATGAATAAAATAAAATAATTATGTATTGGTCTTGTTGAACTTGTAAATTTAATTATACATTTCATTATTTAAATCTGTTGTATAAAATAGTTAGACATCCACCTTTTGTTTAAGGTACAAAATTTCATTGGACCTCTTAGTTTGAAAAATGTCTTTCTTTAAAGCTAGGCTAACTTATAAGGCCGTCTAGTAGAAATTATATGATGTGCTGATGCATCTATACTATAACATACGATTTTATTTTCAAATGATACGCTTAAGTTAAAGGGTGAGAAAAAATTGCACAACATAAGGCACTGTATTACAGAGAAAAACAATTTATACTGATTTCACATAAAATAAATAGGCCTATGCCGTACCCTAACTACTGCACTTTTGACAGGAATCTTTACCTGCAGCTCATTATGTAAATATCACAGTAAGCAAAAATGAAATAACGGAAAACTTGTATTACATTTTGTAAGAAAGCCAACCCTTAATATCGTTTACAGGGCACCAATTTTATCAATACAAATAAGAAACAACAATATAAAATACATACCACTTCTTATTTTTACTTGTTCTTTAGTTCATTGTATTTACAGTACATTAATTTACACACTAACCATAGAGTAAAGAAATATAGTTAAACATATTTTATTGATTTTAGAAGCAAAAGTTAATTGCGTACAGCTCAGTTTTGTGATATTCTCCATAGTAAAATTAAAGCAGTGTTGCAGAAAACACAACTCCTTTTCTCTAAATGTGTCTCTAATGTGAAGTACAAGTTACAAGTACATATCATATACATGTATGCCAGTTAGTATGACAACTCGACCTAAAATTATCCTATTTTTATGAAATTTGCTACAAACGTGTAAAACTACTTTTATCCGAACGAGTTTGAAAACCAGTATCATCGGACTATGGTGACAGGGGTTTATGGGGTTTTTTGGGGTAAAATGGATTTTCCCCATTTTCATCCAAAAAAGATGAAATTTGGCAATTGCTTTCCAAACCATTTTATAGAGCTAAAAAAATCATTTAGGATATTGAAGCGTTGTTGTATGCCTTGTCAAAAAATTAAATTAAACATTATTATGTAATTTTAATGGAGAATAAATAAACTGTTGTAGCTTGATTGTGGACATATTTTAATGAAATTTGGAAAATTTATTTCCTTCATACTAAGCTTTACACATATTCATAAAAAAAACCTTATAGTCTTCCCTGTAGTAAAAATCCTACGTTACGTACTCATTAAAATTAATAATATTTGAATAGGGAATAAAGCTGACAATATTTATAAAGAATAATTCAGTGGGATTCCAGCCATGATATATGTTTATTTATAGTTAGTATAAAAATGTGTATTAGATGAAGTTCTTCATTTGTAATTAATTCATTTTATATTAGTCAGTTTAAGTGTAGGAAAGAGCCATGTGGCTATAACTTTGCCTGAATAAATGAAGGATTTTTTATTTTATTTAATTTCATAGCTGAGAAATACTAAAGTAAAACAGTATTTACTCAAAGACAATTTTTTGTTGATTTAGCTGAGTTGAAACACTTGAAGAAATAACATCATTTAGTGAAAATGAAAATCAAAGAGAATGTTCCAACAACAAAAATAGTGTACACGTGTATTAATAAAAATAGATTATTTGATTCTTAGTTAGCTTGTTTGAAACTATAACAATAATTTATTTTATATTTGGGGTTTTAAGATCTTCTACCCCTACAAGCCACTAGTTTACATTTCACAAACTTTGCCTCAGAACTTTGAAACCCTACGGGGCGGAGTTCTAAGTAGGTTAATATCGATGCGGGAATACTATACTGATAGTTGCAGGTCTACAGTATCTACGGTTTTTTCACCTAGCAGAATGTACACGTATAAAAGTGGCCTTTCTCAAATCTCTAGTAAAAAGCATTATCAAAAAATTGCCTAGTCTGAATGTTTGCTGCGGCGGGGGTATTATTCTCTGCTCTGTTGTGGTATCATAGATAAAACACACTCAGTCTATTGTGATATTTACCTTTTAGCGAATTTCCCTATAGGGAAGTAGCTATTACCGTAGGTGGCACGGTAAGACCTAGACCCGGGACCGATTTACTTTTTCATTTTGATGTTCCCAGAGGCCAAAAACACTATTCGTTCAAAATTTTATATATGTATATATATATATATGTATATAGACTTATATATATATATATATATATATATACGTCCGTGAACGCGATAACTTGAGTAATTTTTGTCCGATTTTGATGAAATTTGGTTTAAAGGTGTAAAGCGGGATAAACTTGAATGAGTTCGCGAACCAGCACGATCGGACCATGGGAACGGGTCTTTACGGGGGGTTTTATGGGGTAAAAATTGGTTTTTCTCACTTTTGACCCTCAAAACACAAAATTTCCCAATTTCTCTTTAAAGAGCTTAAAAAACAAATAATTTAGTATGTAAAAGTATTTTTGTTCGATTATTAGTAACGGAGAAAATTAAAAAAATTGTAAATTTAAAATTCCCATGTTATTCTTATGGAGAATATTGTCAAATGTTGTAGTTTGCTTGTTTATGAATATATTTTAATCAAACTTGGCAAATTTATTTATTTTGTACTAAGCTATCAATATTTTACTCAAAAACACACTTTATTAGTTTCCTTGTAGCAGCAAACCTAGGTACTCGTTAATCCTAATGTTATTAAAATATATTTAACTGAAAATGAATTCAGACAAATGGAAGCATAGGCAATTCGCTTAGTCGGCAGGTTTGCTGCGGTGGGGGTATTATAAGTATAAATAGTATCACAGAATCTAAACTAAGCCATCGGCCAGAAAAAGTTGTCAGGTTTATAAACATAATTGACTAGTTGATAAAATTACTTTATACTTACTTTGTCAGTAATACGGACATGTCTGTACTGTAAAATAAGTATCAATCATTATTTGAACAAAATATGTGACAGTAATAGCTTGGTACAAAATTGAAACAACTTATATTTATCGAAATGATTTCAATAGTAGCAGTTTTTAAAGTTATTTAGATTATTCACTATTTTAAGGAATAGTGGTATTTATCTACGTACATGTTTAATAATCTTTAGGCATACTATACCTCAGACCCGCTCTTCGCTCCAGAGGATTTTTAAACTGAAAAATAAATTCACCACCTCTGAAATCACCCAGTCACAGTTGCGAATTATCATTGGATGATAGCAATTAACAACCAATTAAGTTGTAGAAGACAATGAAACCATAGGTGGTGTAGCAGGGGGGGGGGGTGGGGTGCAATGGCAAGATGTGTACGATAATTTATCTTTTCAACTAAATCTATGGTGTAACCAACAAGTTTTAAGTTCCAACACATCTGCCTGCTAATTCACTAAAGGAAATGGCGGCAATAAGACTGTATGTAGGGCTTCAATGCTTGACTGACTTTGATGTTAGGGTGAAATGAAGAACTTAGAATTTAAATATAGTTTGAGCCGTTGCTTAAACTAAAAGTAGATACCAAACCCAAATGAAACCCCAAATGAAAAAAGGTGAAAACCCAAATGAGGTTTAAATTATCTGAGAGACTTGAAAGCAGCCAGTATATGTGGTTTAGTTAGTTTGTCCATAAGACTAGAATGTACTTAGTATTTATCATTTATGCATATTATGGACATGTAATAACATAGATTAAACATACTGTGTGTTTAATCTATGATAATACCTAACTTCAGAGCTGAGCCTAAGGATTTGATGCATAAGCCATGTGCTCATGTAATAAAGGCAGGGAAATATACACTTCTCTTGGAACTAAATTGACTTAAATGTCAAGTGAAAGATTTATATCATCTAGCTACTAAACCAAAATTTAAAGGATTCAATTTACGTAAAAATAAGGCGGATTCCATAGCATCTTAGTTCAGCTTAAGTACTTATTACATTTACATAACATTATTATTATACTATTTACAGTTAACAAAGCCCCAGGTTTACCTTATTTTCCCATTGGAAAACCAAGCTATCCTTCGATGGAAATATGTATTTCTCTTTGATGTCAGCAGATAGGCTGGCTAGGTGCACAACTAAGTAAACTCCGTTTTTAACACCATGCAATGCAAACTCCTCCGCAGCTTTAGCCTGTAACATTCATAAACTATTTTTATTTAGATAAGTACAATAGTAGTCCTTCAGTTATTACATCGAAATCAAACAACATTGTTTCTAACAGGGGTATATAATATAAAATAATTGAACCTTCTAATGATTAGGCAGCCAGATTCTGGAATCTTCCTTTCGTGATTCTCCAGACCCGAGAGCTGAATCACCACTGAACTAAACCCTACTAGACTGTTTTAAGGACTATGTCCTCTTCAGCCAAGGAAATGATCACAGCTGCGGCAGGGACGTGTATATAACAAATTAAAATTATGCTGCAAACGCTGGCTATGGTAAGGATAGTTGTTTTTAGCGAATCCCCCATTTGGAATAACCTATTACCATATGTCTCATGGTAAGACCTGGACCCGGGGCCGATTTATTTTTAATTTTGATGTCCCCAGAGGCCAACGAAACCATTAGTTAAAATTATTATATGTACACATACATATGCATACAGATAACAGTTTATTTATCCTCCCATAACATAATATGGAATTTTAAATTTTATATTTTTCAAATTGCCCTAACCAATAACTGTACAATAACTCTTCAATGTACTACATTATTTGTTTTTAAGCTCTTCTAAATAGTTTGGATACTGCTCAGGCATTCCCGATGACGTGGAACATACCTTTTTCCACTGCCACTGGCCCGCCTGGAGGCTCAACAGTTAGTAGGACTGCTGTCAGTGGACACGGTCATACCGGTGAGGACAATTGGACCTGTGTGTCACATTACATCCAGGGTATTCTCCGCGCCAAGAAGCTCGACCTTGACCGGGATGTGGTGTAGGTCATGAAGTATCTAAATGCCAAAAACAGTGAGAGCCCTGAGGGCTTAGGTCACATGTTGCCCTGGCAACATATAGTACAATGTATATGTAACAAGTAATGTGACAAACAATTCCAGGTCTGTGTCCAACAGAGTAGAGGGGGTTTTATAGTGAGTAGTCTGTGATAGATTCAGGAGTCTCACACTAAAGGCTGGCTACCTGTGTGCGTAAAAACATTTTCCTCCTCTCCCTTGAAAAAAATAGTTTTTAAGAGACATCACTGAAATCAGGAAATTTTATGTTTTGAGTGTCAAAAATGAGATAAATCCATTTTTACCACATAAAACACCCCATAAACCCCCGTCCCTATAGTCCGATCATGCTGATTTACAAACCCATTCGAATGTACACACGTTTGTACCAAATTTCATCAAAATCTGATAATTTCGCTCGAGTTATTGAGCTAACGGACACACACACACACAATGATACCCGCCTGGTTTTATTTTGGACTCGGTCGTCCGCTTAAGTTCAAATTTGCGGCATTGTATTCTACCAGTAAAGCCTTTAGTTTGATGAGCATATATCAACATATGCTTACATTTAAGATTTTTTTCTGACTCCTATCGGGCCGTTCCCTGAGGAGGAAGTGTATAACTGAATAACGTGTTAAAATTATTTTAAAGCCCAATGACTGTGTACCAAGTTTTGAATCTCTGTATTATTGCTTTCCCTATAGGGAAATAGCTATTACCGTAGGTGGCAAGGTAAGACCTAGGCCCAGGACCAATTAACTTTTCCGTTTTATGTCCCCAGAGGCCAAAAACGGCATTCGTTAAAATGTTTATATATATATATATATATATATATATATTTATTTATTATGGTGGTGGAGCATTTGATAGAGCACCGAGGAACGAAATTTGAAGAGTTTTGACAAAGCTGCAGGCTACAAATGAATTGATACATGCGATCAAGAGCTTATATAGCATCTTGTGAAAACTATGCTAGAACCTGCAATCAAAATTCAACTGAATTTATCAAAAAACAAGGAGTTAGGCAAGGAGATAACTTGAACCCTCTTCTTTTCATTCTAGTGCTGGATGAAGTAATGAAAAATGTGAAAGCTAAAGCTAAAAGCCTTGTGGTGGGAAACTATCAATTAAGAGCTGTTAGAATTTGGGGCACACCAAAACTTCCACGACGTTTTATGATCATAACCCTAACGAAACCACCACAGCAATTAGGAAGGATAATGGTGTTTTCGAGTGGGGAGAAATACCGAAACTGCCAAATCAGATTCCTCAGGTAGATGGGGAGAAACGGGAGACTTATAATTCCCATTTCTGTTTTAACCTTTTTTTTACGTCAACGTCCTAACATCTCTTTCATTATAATACGTAGGAAAAAAAGAGTTTTTTTATGTTAGTTTAAGTTTTTGGTGTTGCGACTGTTAAGATATTTACATTTTAACTATAACATGTTAAAAGCTTTCATATAAAACTATTAAAAAGAGTAATTTTTAAATCCATTACAGTCTTAATGCTTCAGAATAAAATTATTTCTACCTTCATCAGTAAATTAAATTACTTCTTCTATTGTTACTTAATTTAAATACAAAGTTAGTACTGTATGATCTTTTAAGTAGCGAGATGAAAAGCATTTAATTAAGTTATGAGCAATGTAAAGTGTTCTGTTTCAAACTCGTCACTCTGATAAATAAGGGGATTAACGGATTTTCTCATTCCCGTTTCTCCCTGCACGTTGCCAAACTGACCTCCCCTACGTGAGGAATCCACTGCGGCATTTTAAGTATTTCTACCTTACTCGAAAACGCCCTTCCTAATTGCTGTGGCGGTTCCGGTATGGGTTATAATCATAAAACGTCGTGGCAGTTTCGGTACAGCCAAAATTTGCAGCCTAGCTTTTGCAGACGACATAGTGGTTTGGGGAAAACGAGGAACGTTTGCAGCATAATATGAAAATATGAGTGGATAAGCTATAAAAAAGGTATAACAATAAATGCAAACAAAACCAAAACCATGGTCTTCAGTGGGGAAAAGGTCAACCATTAAATCTCAGTAGGAAATAGCCCCTTGAAACAGGTACCAACATTTAAATGTGAGGTTGCTCAGTTATCACAGAAAATGGAAAAATATAAGAAAATAAAAGGGATGCAGCAGCAATCTTTTGGTGCATAAGAAATATATTTCTGGCCAAGAAAGAAATAAAAAAAAAAAAAATAGCAGTCTATTAATCTACCTCTGTGCCTACTCTGTGACCTATGGATGTGAATCCTGGACTTTGACCAAAAGACTTAAAATCAAGCTCCAAGCAAGCAATGGAGATGAGGTTTCTTAGGAAAGTATAGAACAAAACAAAAAGGGATAGAATAAGAAATGTTGCAATAAGAAACACCTACGATGTTAAGCCCTTAACTATCACAATACAGGAACAGCAACTAAAATGATTTGGGCATGTCCACAACTCGGCTTCCGAAGATGATGAAAGAGGTCATGTTGAGGGAAAGAGCAAGTAGACCGAGAAAGACATTGAAGGAAGAGATATACATTTAGGATGCTTTGCGTGAGAAGGGCAGCTCCGTACATGGCCACTCACTGAGACAGAAAGTCATAGAGGCGCCTTGTTGTAACCTCGACACCAACCGGTAAAAGAGGACAGGATTAAGTAAGTACCAATTCATTTTTATATAGAACTAGCTGGCCCGACAGACATCGTCCTGTCCTATGTGGTTTTATGTCAAATGCTCGTTCATTTTCAAGATGAGCTCGTTCGCATGGCTCAATCACGTCCTGGTCGAAGTTCGTTCGCTACGCTCACTCACCTTTAGGTTGGAGCTCGTTCGCTGCGCTCACTTGCCTTTAGGTTAGCTCATTCGCTACGCTAACTCGCCTACAGGTTGAAGTTTGTTCGCTACGCTCACTCACTTTTTGGTTGAAAATTAGCTGTTGTCATAAATTTAAAAAAATAATAAACACTTTGTGAAAATCTAGTTTAAAGTTTCTTGACTCGATTGTAAAATATAACTGCGAAACCTACCACGTATCCAATAATTGAATAATATGCATACTATAATTGCAATAATTGCATACTTGATTATTTCATTTTCATCAAATTATACGTAAATAAACTTGTAGTAGTTGATTAGCAGGAAGGTTATACCGATATTAAAGAAGTAGAAAGGGCAATTAACACTCAACATACATTAAAGGAATCCCATAAATTTTACAAAAACTTTAAAACTATAAACAGATTACTTACCTTGTACTCGTCTTCGTCAGTAATGGTGCCAGAAATGGCGTAGAAAATAGCAAGTTTTTTGTCTTGGTGGTTTTTAAACCTGTCTTCATAGTCTACCTAAAACACAAATGTAAAATTCTTTCACCATTATATTTTTAACTAGGTAAAAATAATGGTTACATTTAAACAAATAACATAATGAATGTTGAAAGTGAAGTATTGTGTGCGCTCTAACTGATTATACAGGGTGGAACGAAGTTAGTGTTAAAAATGCGTATGTGTTGAACAACTTAGTGTTACTGACAGTATGGCACCAGTTTATTTGTCCATATCTTCAAACGTAGGCAGCAACAGACAAAATAAGATGTAGTTTTTATATTTGTATTTGCTTGGATAAATAACGATAAAAGCACTCAAGATTGCTTTCATTTCAACTTCATTGTCACTTTCAGAATCCTCATTTAACTTCCAATAATAATAGTACAATATCATTGAGATCAAACAGAATTATAAGCCCTTGTTTAATGGAAGTTTGAATTTGTGACTATTGAAAAACAACATTAACTTTCCCGTAGGATTTTCTATACTAATTTGAGCTATAGAGACTGTAAAATAATCCTAAAAACTTCATCTTTTAATGGTCTTTAAAATAATGTATAAAAACCTACTGCTTCATTGATTTATCGTGTTTCAATCTAGAGTTTCTCTTAGATAACACGGTTAAAGCTGCATTTTCTTTAAAATGACAATGTATTTGGTTAAATAATATGGCAATAGCTGCATTAAAAATTTTGTTTATATGGGGTTTATGGTAATGTTTGGAATCCATGAGACATTTCTCACAAGAAAATCAATAATTGAATGAACGAAGTGAATTCTTATACTGGTGTAAAATGCATCTTCTCAATCTCCAATAACTCGAATATAACTTCGTATATCAAGTTGATGTTTTGCACAAAGGTTCTTTATCATATTATCACGGTTAAGTTCGTTATTGGAGATTATTTGTTCGGTAATAATTATAAAATCCTAAAAACCATTTTAATTTTCCACGATAAGAATAATAAATTTTGAAGAATAATCGGAGGAAATAAATATGGGACATAAAAATATCCACCGAAATGTATTACATTCGATAAAAATGTTTGGGTAGTCACATGTTTTAACTTTTTACATGTTTTTATGGTTGTTAGTTTAGAAGACCTAGGCTTAAATTAATTATGACCACAGTTCTTGGGCTACTTGTTAAAATAATGTGTGAACTTTATCACTGTCTTGAGCTTTTTATACTATTAATTTTCAACATTATTGTTATAGCATACTCTGCCTAATCCAATCAGATTGTTTTTAATAGTTATTTTTTCAAACATAAGCTAAGTTACATAGTTTCCTTTCTTCTTATCGTCGTCGGTTGTTTGTGTTTTCTGTTGGGTGTATTTGTTGTTGTTGTTAATGTTGGCTGTAAAATAAAAGTGAACATTTTTATACAATCATTTAATGAAAAAAAAACGCAAATATAACTCCTCGTAGTTATGATGTAAGAGTTATTTCACTGTATACCTATCTTTGTGACTGTTGTCAATGGCAAACACTAGATCTAGGTTAGGAACAAAGAGATAAAAACAATAACAGTTGGATAAAAGAAATTAGTTTTTATTTAATTTAACAAAGCCCATGTTTTCCTTCACGAAGACACATTTTTTCTTTAGTTACTTTGAAACTAAATCCTTTCTTCACTGTTGTGCTGACTGACATCAGTTTCGTTCCTAGCTTGGGAAATTGCCATACATTCTCTAAAGTTGTGATGTATCGGTTCTTCCCAATATTCACACTTACTCGAATACTTCCCTCTCCAACTGCCTCAATATCTTCACCATTTCCACAGTGACGTTAATTGGTGAAGTAAACCTCTGATATGTGTGAAAGAAGTCCCTTGGGAAACACATATGCTGCGATGCTCCAGAGTCTGCAATAAACTTGTCTTTCTTGTGCTCCTTTGCTACAATACACAAGAATGGACCACTGTTACCGTTTCTAGGCTCAGTCTTGTTCTTGTATTCTTTTTCTGATTTCTTTGGACACTGACTAGCATAGTGTGGTCCCTTTCAAATCAAACACTTTATTTTCTTCTTTATAGAATGCCTTTTGCCTTCTCAGAATGAACTTGTGCTATTTCTTGTAACCTGTAAGGCTTGTCCATTATCAGAATTCATAGTCCTAGGTAGCCTGGACTCAATCAGACGAATTCTCTCCATTAGCAAATCAACACTTTTGTCCTTCACTGGTATTATTTCCCACACACTTTTGAACTCAAAGAATTCTTTAGGTAGTGTACTCATAATCCTTGACATCAACACAAGTTCTGGCAGTTCTGAAGCTTTATGCTTTTTAAGTTTATCATTCACTTCTCTGAAGTTTAACTGCAATCTTGAGATATATTTGATCAAATCTTCTCCATCAGTTATACTAGACGTAAAGAACTGCTCCATTGTTCTTTCTAGTCTCTGACTTGATGATTGTTCATAATACTCAACAGCTTCTGCCATCGATATATAACTACTACTAATACTATTAATACTATCGATACTATACTATCGATATATAACTAGTTATATATCGATGGCTTCTGCCACATTTCATGTGCACTATCACAAGTAGCTGTTAATTGTACATTTGAATCGTCTAGAGCATTTACAATAAGTACCTGAGCTAAGGTGTCACCTTTCTTGAAATCCTTAAGCTTCTGCTCGTCTGTTTCTTCAGGCCTTGTCCTTTCACCAGTAATCAGATCACTAACTCCATGATGTCTCAAAACTAATTCCATCTGGCGTTTCCACCTTCTCCATGATGGAGAATTGCTTAGTTTTTCAACATTCACTCTTAAATCCATTCTTTTTACTTTCTGTAGCCCATAACCAAATAAAAAAACTAATTTCTTTATCCAACTTTTATTGTTTTTATTTGGGAGCCAGGTCATTGGTTAGTGACTAAGCAAGGAAAGAACTTAAATCACTGTATCTGGTTAAGTGTTTCAAAAATTAATCGTAATTATTGATATATGATCTTTCACGTGTTATTTTGAATTTCATATTAGGCCTATAACTTAACGTTATCCGGTAAGTTATAAGGTATTTAACTTAACGTTATCCGGTAAGTTATAAGCTATTTAACTTAACTTAGTTACACTATCAAGTGTAACTGACAGAGTGTTCCCTATGAAGTTAGGGTGGCCTGCAATCAAAGGTAATAGGCCTAGCCTACCTTGGCCTTTTCTACAGTCTAGCCACTTACAATTAGAATTCAATCATTTATGTAAAGGTTTCCTATGTCATTTATCAACAAAAAGCAGAGTCACGACTTACCATCCACCGGTGCCGTGTCTCGTGAATCAGCGTCTGGTCGACCAGTTTATTAAATGTATTTCGTGTGCGTCATGTTCGTATGTGTCCCCCGTTTATTTATTTGTTTATATTTTTGACGAACTCCACATGAGGAATTAGCAAGACATTCTTGACCTGAAGATGTGCTACTTTTAAAAATCACGAAACAGCTGTAGTCTTCATACTACCAAGTCGATCGTTTTTACCGAAACAGGTAATTTAAACCTATATTAGTTTATTCAGACGATCTAGAGGCCATTCCATCATGAAAACAAAAAGCAAATCTCAAACTTTGTGACAAGTTTTAACACATAAAGCCCTGTATAGATTTACAATAATTCAAGAGAATTTAATACTCACATCTGATGTTACTTTTTCCCCAACTTCAATCTGAAAAATATAAGTAGAAAAAATTAATATAATTGATAACTAATGTCTATCAATCTTATCAGCCACAAGAGGTAGTACAATACCAAAACTTAATGACAATTTGAAAACATGTTTCTCGAAAAATGTATATATTTACTAGTTGTTCTGCCCGTGCGTTAACAGGGCAAGATTACTTCAGAGAATAATGTGGGCCTCTAAATCTACTATAAAAAACAGTTACACACTTTTACTATGCGAACTATACAGGCAAATCTCAATCGTACTTAATGATATTTTAAATGAAAATCTCTTGTGTATTTTTGTATTTTATTTCATTTTGTGTGTATTTACGCCAGTTGTATTTTTTCCGTTTTGAAAGGAAACGGCCCAAACTCGGCTCTTGTTACTATCTAACGTCGACCTTTTTGTTAGATAGCATCATTAATTCATAGCCCAATGAAAAGTGGCATCTGGGTCTGGAAAGGATCTCACTTGAATTCGAACCAGCGACCTTCAGATTTGAAGGCGAGCACTACAACCACTCGGCTTTTGCTTTAAATATATTAACAGGGTGAAAGTAAACAAACTTTAAAGCACATCTGATGCATCTTCAATATTGTTGTGTTCGTTGTTAACACTTTACAACTTATATTGGACTAAGGTGGACAGATAAAATACAACGGTTGCATTATTAATGACAAGGCCACATGCAGGGTGTTAGGGTTAGACTTCAACTGATATTCTCATGATATATTACAAATATCATTTTTATACAGTATGTTTTGTTAGTAAACATATCCATCGCTGGGGTGGTTGTTATGCCAACCGGCTTGCTGACTACGATCTTAGCGGGGGAAGAAGTGCGATGCCTCTGGTATTGCGGCTTTGCCAAATCTGGGTCTGAGCTAGCGGATGTAGGGGTTGCCACATTTCTATGTACAATTACAATATTTTCAGCAAAACTCGTATCTCCGTGTAGCGGACTGTTATTTAAACCGATCAGCTGATAAATGTGACGCTTAGTAACAATGGCAGAACTTTACTCCAGTTCATACATAACAGGACTGAATTGCTTGTCGGAATTTTCGGAATGTAAATCAACAGGTAAACCAAACCTACTGAATAATTCTCTTAAAAACTGTATAGCTAGTTTTGCGGAAGTGGAACTAACTTCACCTACTTCCAACAACTCAAACAGCAACCCTGGGGCTGGCTTGTGGACTGACCGGTGTACTCCGGTGTAATTTTTTTGACCAATTATGAACTTTCAATACAAAGAAAATGTAAACTGTCAAACAATTTAAATTCTGGATTTTTGTGACTCCATTGTATTTCTTAACGAAATTTTAAATAAAGGAAACTGTCTAT